GCTGTTCCCATCCCCCAATACCCCAATAAAAATCTTTAAAAAAAATAAAAAAAATAAAAAAGAATAAATAATTTTTTCTAAAGTAAGAGGAACAAGTAGGAACAACCAGCTTAGACCAAAAAGGACTCACTTTCAAAAGATAGTTTGATTAAAAACCAGGGAAAAAAAAGCCTTTGGGCTGAGGGTCAAGGGCCACACAGAGTTGGCGCTGTTGATGACATGATACTTGGAGGGCAGGTGAGGCCCCCAGACACAGGAAGCAGATGTCAGGTCATGCTATGGGAGGTAGGCTGGTGGATCTTGGTGAAACCCAGACATAACCAGAGGAATGAAGAAATGCAGAGGCAAAAATGAAAACAGGGCTTGACACCTTCACAGGGAGGAGAAATATTTAATAAAACCAGGGTTAAGAGCAAGTCACTCATACAACACATCCCCTCACTCGCTGCTGGCTGGGGCAGGGCACCCAGGTGCTCTCAAGCTGACTTCCTAACGGCACTGTGTCTCAGGCATCTCAGGCAATGCCAAGTGCAGGCTGAGCTGGGGGTCCTGCAGGCCGGGTAGCCTGTGGCTGTGCAGCCTCAGTCCTGGGCTATGCGGTATGTGCTGCCCGGGCCTCACTCCTGCAGGAGCTTGTGTTTGACCGTCGTGTTCTCAGAGCAGAGGTGGACAAAGAGGGTGCCCGCGGCCGTGCGCGCCCGCAGCTCCTGGAGCTCGTAGTCATGGGCCCACTCAATATTGCCCCACTTTTGGATCTGAGGGGAGGACAAGAAATGCTGTTGAGGGCATGGCTAGTCCCCAGTGCCTGCCAGCCAGAGCCTCACACCATCCCATAACTGGGTGAGGGCCACAGACTTTGATCTTGCCAAAACATGCAAGACACGCGTGGTGGGGGAGGTAGTAGGTAAGAACACGCAAATAGGCCAGGGTAGGCACCCCTGCTCTACAGGATATGGATTGGCTGACAGGGGCGCAGTCCAGGCCCAGGGCCAGTGGGTGCCCACTAGTGGGCAGGCCAGGCACCAAAACCACATGCATGTCTCCCCAGAGGCCCAACTTGTGTGCTGTCCCCTCTCACACTTCTTCCCACAAGGAGGCTGGTGTGAGGCAGCCTGTAAAATGTCAATCTCTCATAAGTTGCCTCACCAGGCTGGGCTGCAAGTGGCCCCTGCATCGGTGGGATTAAAAAAATAAATAAATCGACCAAGGCTTCATTCCTGACTACTGGGAACGGCAGCACTGAGGAGGCCTGCCTCTGCTCTGCGTACTGGGGCAGGGATGCAGACAGTTTCTCCAGACGCTAAGAACTACAGGGAGAAACCCTGGACACACAGTGTGGCTGTCCAGACGTCGGAGTGACTCCAATCTGACCCTGCTGGTTCCTCCTCCCTGGCCAGGGGCCCAGGGGCCCAGGGGCCCAGCCTGGCCACCCCAGCCCATCCAGAACTCAGGAAGTGCCATGCCACAGAAGCTGTCAGCATTTCTGGGGGCCCAGTCTCAATCTGGACTACTGTGATATAACACCTGAAGAGCACTTCATACTTCAGAGAACTCACATACATAATCCAGGTTACTCTGCGTTCTGTGGCGGATCAAACCGGAAGTTCAGAGCACGACGGCCTGGCTCAGGTTCTACAGTCCAAGGCAGAGCCCAGAACAGAGCCCAAGTTTCTGAGCTCGCTAGCTCTCACACCCCTTACAGCCTCACACCCCAAGCTCACCCCTTTTCCTAGTCAGTCGTTTCTAACATCCAGAGAGTAGCTAGCCTCTTTTGCTATATAGAAACAGCTTTTTCCCAGGCATTTTTCTGAGCAGATGACTAGATGGACTGGGGCAATACTGCCATTACAGAAGGGTTTCATCATGCTAGGGACCAATTTGTAATAGCAATTAACCTTTTGAAGTTGGAGGAATACAACAAAAAGAATTATGCAAAGACCATCATACTTCTCAGAATTAAAAAAATGCGAATGACAGTGTAGCAAAACCTTATTAATCCTGAGCCCACTGAATTAGGACTCGTGCACAAGCAGCAGCCCCCTTGCTCCCAGCCCGCCAGTTGATCCGCTGCGTGAACATCGGGGTGTGGAGGCTCAGTCTTCACAAGCACACATATGGCTCCCAGTCATTTTAGTAAGCCCATTCTATAGTTATGTCAGGCCTAGACAACTGTGATCTGTCCATGAACCTCTACCTGCAGCGGGGGGGGGGGGGGGGAGCCTTGGCCTGGAGTCACCAGACCTGGCTCCAAACCCTGGCTCCATCATTTTCCGGGGATGCAATCTGTGCCTCGGTTTCCTCCTGTGTAAAATGGGGATAACAACAGCCCCCATCTGACTAGGTTGGTTAGAAAAGGTGAGGGAATGAGGGGAGAGCTGAGTACAATGCTGGAACACAGCAGTAGCACTTACTATGATCATTTGACAATACTTTGACCCTCAGTTTCTGTTTGTACACAAAAGTAATAAAGACCAAGTCTATATAAAAACAGACAGGTGAGCCCCCCTCCTAGCCCCCATTAGCCTGAATCTGGGAGGGGTGAGGCGGAGACTTGAGGACTCTCCTTTGGACTGCTGGCAGCACCTCACCTGGTATTCCTCCTCCAGGCGTGACAGCAGCACAGCCTGCTCCACTGTCAGGTGCAGGTCAATCAGGCCCAAGGTCAGCACCATGGACTTGAGCTGGGCCACTACAAACTCGATCCCTACAGGGACAGAAGCCAAGTCAGGACCCAGGGCACCTCCGAAACAGCGCAGTTATTATACCTACGCTTTTGGAGTCCCTGTAGTCCTTGAGAGGTACAGAAACACAAGGTAGGGGAGACCAATTCCAGGGACTATCGCTTTTGGGCAAGCTCTGTACCCATCCCCATTCTCCTCCAGGAGCACTCGGGTTTTCTTTGGGGGAGACCCCTCCTCTGTTCCTACCTGAGGTGGGCACAGGAACCAAACTTGGCCAATCAGAGCATTCCAGCCTAGCCAGTGATTGGCTCACGGATGGGCATGGGACCCAGGCCAGGCCAGTGAGGCTTTAACTCCTGAAGAAAAGAAAGCCCACTTTCTCCTGGGAGGGTGTAAGCCTACCTTCCCCTCAGATTCAGCAGAAGGGTGAGCATTAGAGCCACCCCCAGAGTGCTCCTGTGCCTCTCTGTGTTTTGGATGCCATGCCTATCTTGCCCACCCTCCCAGGCCCACCGGAAATGCCATGCATACCTTGTAGGGCCCACATGTTGTAAGAGGCCAGGTGGCTGACAAGCACCTCCCGAGTCTTGGCTGGGATGCTGGGCCCCATGATGCTGGTGGAAAAGCCGATCTCCACGCCATATCTGGAAGGAAAAGACTCTGGTGGGGCCCAGCTTTGGTCTGGAAGCACAGCCCTAACCTGCAGAGCAGGTACGTGCCCCTTCAGGCCATGTGGCCAATGGGTCAGTCTTGGGGATTCTGGGAGCAACTGCCACTGTGGTCAGTGACCTCCTGACCTAATAATTTCTATCACGAGCAAAGCCAGAGGACCAAGAAACTTCCCTGAATAGAGGTGTGGTTAGCGGGCCATGCAAACAGGGCTTTCACTTATACAAAGCTGCCTGAAACTCTATTTGCCTGGAATCTCCATCAAAGGCATGAGCTACCTGCTTTTTCATCTTGTTAAGAATGTTTTTCACATCTGAAATTGTAAAATATTTCTTTTAAACATTGTTTTCCTTACAATAATATTTATATACGTCCTATGTCATTCAATCACTTTTCAAATATTTATTCAGCCTCTTCTATACATAAGGCATTGTTTTTGGTCTGGGGCATGAGCTGGCTTCAAGAAGGACAAATTTTCAAGAACAATTAAAACTATATATACAATACAGGAAAAACATAATGGAGTAAAAGCAGTTTTTGTCATTTTCTTTCATATATCACTGATTTTTCCTGCTTCTTTAGAAATAGCCTTGCTTACATTTCTAACAGCACAAATGGAACCTAGTAAATGGCCACGTTTATCTGTAAATTATTAAGGACAAGAAATCTCAACTCCCACAAAAAGATGACAATTTTATATCACAGTAAAGATCTCCAGACACCTAAATCACTGTTATATTTAATTCAACCCCCAAATAACACTCTGTCCTCCTGGTTCTCACACAGTACTACAGTTGTTGCATTTTACCTGATACTTCAATGCACTGGCTACGTCTTTTACTATAGAACCCAAAGGTACCTGGCACATGGTGGGCACTCAGGAGATATGCACAAATGAGGCAGCCTGACAGACATCACGTTTGTGAAAACTGCTATCCCAAAAAGTAATCCACATAAGCTTACAGAATACTATGGGTCAAGGTAGTACTGAGGTAGGAGCCCTTCCAAAGTCCCCTTGAAATGAAACAGAATTTTGTCACATCAATGGTCTGTTCAGTTTACAAAAAGAACCTTCCTGCTAAGGAAAAATATTGGGTAACGTCAATTCCTAGACACCTTACATCCACAGGATGTTACCTATAATTTTGTAGGATGCTGTCCAGGTTGTGTATATGTATCATACATGCCATTTGATACATTTTTTTTTTAAGATTTTTATTGGGGAATTGGGGGATGGGAATAGCGCTGGGGAATTGGGGGAAGGGGAACAGACAAGTTGCTGTCCTTTTGTTCTTCAGTCTAGTTGTGGAGGACGTTGCTTCACTGGNATTTTCTGTCTGGAGGATCTGTCCATTGGTGACAGCGGGGTGTTGAAGTCCCCTACTATAATAGTGTTACTGTTGATCTCTGTCTTTATGTCTGTCAAAATCTGTTTTATACATTTAGGGGCTCCTATGTTAGGTGCATAGAGGTTTACTAGGGTTATGTCCTCTTGTTGGATCGACCCCTTTATTATTATGAAGTACCCTTCTTTGTCCTTTATTATGTTCTTCAATTTAAAGTCCATTATATCTGATGTAAGTATTGCTACTCCAGCTTTTTTCTCGATTCCATTTGCATGAAATATTTTACTCCATCCCTTTACTCTCAGCCTGTATGTGTCTTTTGATCTGAGGTGAGTCTCTTGTATACAGCATATGCAAGGGTCTTGCTTTCTTATCCACTCAGCCACCCTATGTCTTTTGATCGGAGCATTCAATCCATTTACATTTAATATGATTATTGATAGGTGCATAGTTATTGCCATTTTGTTATTTGTGTTCCTGGTCTTCCTTAGTTAGGTTGTTTTTCTCTTTCCTCTGCTTAAAGAAGCCCTTTTAACATTTCCTGCAATGCACTCAGCAGCTTTTTGTGGACAAAGACACAATTGTGAATGCTGTCGGGACATCACATGACATCCACCTCCTGAAGATTGACAATCGAGAAGATGAGCTGGTGACCAGGATCAACTCTTGGTGTACGCAGTTAGTGAACAAGGTGAGTGATGCCACTGGTCTAGCAGATGCACCAATGCCTCTAGTTACCAGCCGGGGAGCAGTGGAAATCTGCCCTGGGGAGCGTATACTATTTGCAGTAAGAAATGGAGAAAGAAATAAAATGAAGGATTGTAGAATTCCACACTGAAGACTTCTTATTGACCAGACTTTAAAACCCAGGTGCTTCATCATTTTCTTCTGATCTCAAACACATAGATAAGCAGAACACAGGAAGCTTGGAAGTAAGTGGAAGACGTAACTATGCAAACTTCAAAGAACTCCTTTCCTTTCCCCCATACTGGACTCAGGGAAAGGTATTAACTGGTTTTCTGACAACCCTCAGATTCACAAGGACGAGATCACCAGGAACCGCAAACGAGTGAGGGAGATCAATCAATACATCGACCACATGCAGAGCGAGCTGGACAACCTGGAGTGCAGCGATATTATAGATTAGGGGCCTTGTGAGAACACAGGCCTAGGCCCTGGCCAGGACAGCGCCCTGACCGTCTCAGAAGACAGTTACTGGGGATTTCTTAACCCACAACCCCCGTAATGCCATTCTTCCCTCACCCCTGGAAAAACTTCCAAATGTAGAGAAAAATAAAGGACTTGTGTCACTTTTCTCCATTATTTAAATAAATAATCAGAATTCACATGCAGATATGAGCAGGAGAAAAGCGCAGGTGAGCAGCTGGCCAGTCTACTGAGAGCAGCTCCCCAGGGGCTGCCAGTGTGCTGGACTCTCAGCAGTGGCCTAATGCCAGCTGTGTGCTTTTCCTGACGTTCCCAGGGCAGGCTGCGGGCTGTAGGCAGAGGCGGCCAGTGAGACTGAGCCCTACTCTCCTCTGGGTGTGAGAAATAGCCAGAGTGGCTGCAGCACAGCCCTGGGGCCTGGGCCAGCCCACTTAGGCAGAGGCTGCGGCTCCGTATCCCTGAACTTGGCTGCAGGGACCCAAAGGCTCTCCGGAGGTTAAGAGCACAGGCTGGGCATCCCATGTCACCTCTGCAGCCTGAGTTTCATCTGTGTAGTGAGGATGTGACAGTACCTTCTCTGAGTATAGTCGAGGGGTTCAGGGAACACGTGTGGAAAGTGTGGAGAAGCACCTGGTAAGTGGCTGGTGCCCCAGGAACGGGAGTGATGCCACTTTGTTGCTCAGTTGTGCTAGCACAGACAGCTCAGAAAGCCTTTGCTGCCTGAAACCAGACTCTCCAGCTTCCCTTTCCCTGGGCCCCGGCACCAGGACACGGCACCTGCCTCCTAGGACTAAGCAAGTGGCTATCAGGAGGGCGCTCTGGACTCCCTGAGTAGGACACATGCACACATGTCACGTGTCCTTGCCAGGCCTGCCCAGGATTTTAACCCAGAAGTAATGTATATTTTATATTTTCAAGAATAAATCTTTTGGGGCCGGCCGAGTGGCGCGATGGTTAAGAACTCGCTTGGGATGCCAGAGGGCCCCGGTTCGGATCCCACATATGAGGGCCAGTGACACT